AAAGAGTCTAGAGATTCAGGTGGAAAATAGTGTCGTTGAGGCGGTATGGCTCTTAATTCATCTTTCTCTATTTCTGTTCTGTTTCCTAGGAACCTCAGCACCTGTAATGATGAGGAAAACCCAGAGGTCAAAAATAGAGCTAATTTCCCAGAATCTTAGGTGTTTTAAAGGGGTAGGGACTTTTTGAACATGAACTTGTGCCAGATGGTGAAAGGTTGGTGAAATGTTGCCGTTATAGACTTCACCTAACTGTGTCCAGCTACCAATGACAGGGAAGGAAGCCTGCAGAACTGGAGAGGTGTGGAGGGAGGGGGACAGAGAGACAGAGACATGTAGAAACAAAGGGAGAGACAGACAGAGACAGAAAGAGTGAGTCATTGTGTTTCAATAAAGCAGACCCACCAGGTTCCCCTGCACACCTATACAAAGAAACATACCCAGATGAACCTGCTGCTGTGACCTGCTTTGTTGAAGGAAAGCAATGATCAATTTCTAACTGTGATCGCTGCCATTTAATCAATAGCTTCTGTAACCTCTCACTCTGACATCTGTCATGGAACACTCTAAGGTCATCTGTTAACAAGGTTTGCCAATGAAGAGAGATCTTCATATCCCCAAGATTGTGAGTGGTTTCAAATACTCACTCTAGCTTGATCTAAACTTTTCACTCCAAAATCAGGATTATAACACAGCCGGTCAATCACTTCACTCCCTCCTGTTGCTGTTTTCTGCTCAACAAAGGAGCAAGGCAGTCAGAGGTCATTAGCACCATCTATGAGGCAGTCACAGAATCACTTAGTCAGAAGGCTGTATGGTCGAACCAAGAAAGAAAGCTCCTTGTAACACACCCAGCAAGTGGTCATTCAGCCCATACTTGCAGCTCTAAAGGGAAAGCCACCCACTAAAGCAGTCCATCCCACTTTGGGGCAGTTCTTTTTTTTGGGGGGGGGAACAGTTCTACATGTGAAATCCTAACATCAAGCCTTTTTACAAGTTCTACTCAGTGTTTCTAGTTCTGCCTTCTGGGGACAAACATCCTCTCTTCCACATTTTGACAGCCTTTCAAATACTTAAAGATAGCCAGCATGTAATACTTTCCCTGTTCCCCTCCCCATTCTTCTCTTCTCTGCCAAACATCCCCAGTTCCATCCTTATATGGATTGATCTCAAAGCCCTTCACCGTTCTGGTTGCCCTCCTTTAAACACAGACTCCTGATGAATGCCCTTCTTAAAATGTGGCACTGAACACAGTACTACAAATGTGGCATAACCAGAGCAGAGTACCATGAGATTGTTGTTGTTTAATTGTTTCAGTTGTATCCAACTTTTCCTGCCCACATTTGGGGTTTTCTTGGCAAAGATACTGGAGCGGTTTGCCATTTCCTTTTCTAGCTCGTTTTACAGATGAGAAAACTAAGGCAAACAAGGTTAAGTGACTTGCCCAGGGTCACACAGCTACTAAGTGTCTGTGGTCACATTTGAACTCAGGTCTTCCTGACTCTAGGCCTGGCACTCTATCCACTACACACTTAGCTGGGATTAACAGGGTCTTATTCCTTTCACTTAATGTAGCCCAAGATCATATGATCTTTTTTTGGCTGGCAAATCACACTCTTCCCTTCTACTGAGCTTGCAGTCCACTAAAACCCCTAGACTTTTTTCAGACAAATTTCAATCCTCCGCTATCTTATATTTACGAAGATGATTTCTTAAATACAAGGGACAAAACTTTATAATTACCCCTATTCAATTGAATTTTATGAGATTCAGTCTAATTTTTTATCCTGTCAAGATGATTTTGGATCCTGACTCTATCATTCAATTTGTAAGCTTTACGTCTCTTGCAGATTCAACAAGGATATCAAAGGCGCCTACATGCACGAGCACACACACACACACACACACACACACACACACACACACACACACACAAGCACACACATATCTATACCTATACATATATATATATGTACACATACCTATATATACATATAAGTATATATAGGTACACACATATACATATATATGTGTGTGTATATATATATATATATATATATATATACACACACACACATACACACATACACATATATATATGTCTTTATACAGGTCATTAATAATAATTTCAAATACCACATGAGCAAGCACAGCTTCCTAAGGCACTCCATGGGAGACCTCTTTCCAAGTTGACATAGAATCATCAGTGACTTCAGCCATTTAAGTGATGCTGAATCCATTTAATTATACCTCATCTAAAGTGTTATGTTCAGTTCTGGGCACCACAGTTGAAGAGGGGCATTAATAAACTGGAGAGTGCATAGAGGAAGGCAATCAGGGTGGTGAAAGTCCTTGAGTCCATGATATATAAGGACTGGTTGAAGGAAATGGGCATGTTGGACATGGAGAAAAGTTGACTCAAGGGGGTATGAAAGCTCTCTTCAAGCGTTTGAAGGGCTGCCATGTGGTAGAGAGATTGACTTGCTCTGTTTGGCCCCAAAGAGCCAAACCAAGAATGATGCATGGAAGTTGCAGAGGTCATGTCCGACTCTCAAATTCTGTGATGCTGTGATATTATCATCTAGTTCACATCCCTCCATCTTTTCCCATAAGAATAATAAAGATTCTATTAAATGCTTTGCAAAAATCGATATCTATTCCATTCCTCTGATCTACCAGCTTAGTAATCCTGTCAAAAAAGGAAATAAGGTTAGTCTGGCATGATCTGTTCTTGATGAAGTCATATTAGTTCTTGGTGATCTCTGCTTCCCTTCTCAATATTCACTAACCTTCTCTTTAGTAATATATTTTAGAATTTTCCCAAGAATAAAAGTCAAGTTCACTGCCCTATAATTTGCAGGTTCCATTCTTTTCCCTTTTTTTGAAAATTCAGACAACATTCACCCTTCTTCAGGCCTGCAGGACCTTTTCTGTTCTCCTCAGTCATAAATAATACCAAGGAAATGGGGCTTCATTTCAGAATGCTGACATTCAGGGGCTGCCCTTCTTTCCTTGAAGGGATCGCTTCTCTGTAGGAACTACCACCTCATACTTAATTACCTGCTACCAGCCCATGCCTCAGTACAGCTGCGCCTGGGCTACCACACTTTGAGAAGAGGGCCAGGGACCATCCCCTTTACCTCCAATTATACCTTGCTCCACTATTTCCTCCATCAACTTTTTGCCTTCAGTGAAAAAATTTCCTAATTATATCTCTGTACAACTGAATCAAAAGAATTCTTTTTTCTTTTTCTTTTTCTTTTCTTTCTTTCCTTCCTCTCCTCCTCCTCCTCCTCCTCTCCTCCTTCTTCTTCTTCTTCTTCTTCTTCTTCTTTTGTTGTTGTTTGTGGAGAGCAAATTTGCTTTTTGTTCAGTGAATTTTACTAACAATAAGTGTCAGAAGCAAACTCAATTTATATAGACATCAGGTTTGGATGGGTCCTCCCTCTCCTCCCTTTCTCCCACCATGAAGACTAGCTACATACTCTAAAAAGCTCCTCCCTAACTTGCATAAAAGTCCCTGCAGGTAGATACTATCATTTCATCAACAATCTGGACATCTCTGACTGAATGACCCAGAGTCATCTCCAACTCAACATGTCCCAAAGAAAACTCATTATCTTTTCCCAAAACCCATTCCTCTTCCAAACTTCCCTATTTCTGTTGAGTACAGTACCATCCCATGAGTCACCTATATTCTCAGCTTCAGGATCATTCTTGCCTCTTCCCTATGTCTAGTCAGTCACCAAGGCTGGTCATTTCTACCTCCACAACCTCTGCTGCATCTGCCTCCTTCTCTTTACTCACAGAGTCACCACCTTACTTTATGCCCTAAACATCTCTCACCTGGGCTGATACAATAGCCTCCTAATTGGTCTCCCTGTTTCAAGCCTCTGCCATCTCCAATCCATCTTCCGTAGCTGTCAAAGTGAGATTTCTAAAACATGAGTCTGGCCACATCACTCCTCAACAAACTACAGTGGCTCCCTATTACCTCTAGGATAAAATCCAAACTCCTGTGTTTGGCATTTAAAGACCCACTCAACCCGGTTCAAATGTACCTTTCCAACTTTAAGTATTTCTCTCTTTCGCATACCCTGTAGTCCAGTCAAACTGACCTTCTAGCTGTCCCTCGAACACTAGGCCCAATCTCCCACCTCCACACCTTTGCAAATACTTGTAATGGACTCCCTCCTCACTTCTGCCTCTTCAAAGCAAACCTTGAGAAGAAGGGGCCTATCATCCCCCACCCCTCCAACACTAACTCCTGACCAATTACCACTGATGGGTAGGTAAGCCCAAGACCACTAGGAATAGCAGCAGCATTTCCAGATTAATGACTCTGCTTTCAGCCTGGCCCATGCATGTGACCCTGGTAGAAATGAGACCTGGAAAATTGTTCTGTGGGTGTTACAGGCCCTGCCTTCTGAGCAGTCATAATCACTGAAGACATGGAAAAGAAAGCTCTCACCAACAAAGTCCCGGATAGATGATAGACAGATAGACACACAGACAGACAGACAGATAGATAGACACAGAGAGGCAGATATAGAGAGATCAAGAGCTAGATAGAGAAATAGATAAGTATAGATAGATAGCTAAAGAGATAGAGATAGATAGACAGACCAAGATGGAGATCGAGAGCCAGCTAGAAAAAGAGATAGACATAGGTAGTTAAAGAGATAGAGATAGATAGATACAGACAAAAATAGAGAGATTGAGGGCTAATTAGATAGAAAAATAGAAATAGACACAGATAGCTAAAGCAATACAAATGTATGGATAGATAGAAAAATAGACAAAGACAGAAAAAGAGCTAAGAAGAGATAGATGATTGACAATAGAGATACAGATAGATAGCTAGCTAGCTAGCTAGCTAGCTAGCTAGATAGATAGCTAGATAGATAGATAAATAGATGATAATGTAAATGAGCACTTATCAAGTACTTTGCTAGGCACTCTGCTAAGTGTCAAGGATATCTTCTTGTCCTCAGGGAGCTTACCTTCTTATGGCAGGAGCAATAATGAGAGCCGGGAATGGGAGGAGGAGATCCTCTTGCGGTAACATTGCTGGAAGTCCTGATCACTGCAGAGGCCTGGAACAGAGCAAGATAAAGTCAAAGGGGGACTATAAATGCCCAGGGAGTTTCCATGGGCAGAGTCCAATTTTCCAGTAAGGAGGAAATAGAGGCCATCACTTGGCAATAACAAAGGCTTCAATAGCAGAAATTCCACTAAAAGAGATTCATTACCATAGCCTTTGCCACTGCAGCATAAAAGCTACTATCTACTACTGGTCCTATTAGACATTTTGCTCCTACTTCAAGGTATTAAATGTGGAAGAAAAAAAAAACCTGACCTTTCTGAGAATCATTTTTTATTTATTTGACCCTGGGAAACAACTACTTTTGCCCCGAACAAAGGGGTGTGCCCTTGTGTCCATGTTTCATGGGGCAACAAATTATGGATGAAAAACCAGATCTCTCTCTCTATATATGAAAGACTTACACTTTTATCCTTATCATAATAGTCTTATTTTCATTTCAAAAGGGAGGATCAGACCATATGGATGGTATAAACACAATGTTTATATTAATTTGAGTATATCCAATTTATAATTATACTATAGAATCCTGCCTCTTCATAACATTGTTAAAAAAAATTTTAAACATAAGGTAGAATTAGGACAAAATACTATTTAAGGAAAATAATCTGAAGATCTAAATTTGTATATGAGGTACCTATTTGTGTGGGTTTAAAAAAAAAAAGGAACCAAGGACTTCCATAAAAGGAAAGCTGCTAGGTAACTCGGTAGGTAGGGCCCTGGGCTTGGAGTCAGGAAGACTCATCTTCATGAGTTCAAATCTGACCTCAATCACTAACTGTGTGACCCTGGGCAAGTCACTTCACCCTGTTTGCCTCCCTTTTTCTCATCTGTAAAATGAGTTGGAGAAGAAAATAGCAAACCAGTCCAGTATCTTTTCCACAGGAGCTAGACTGAACTTCAACAACAAAGGAATCTAGTCAGTTTCTGCATGAGATGTATGAATAAAGACTCATCTGAAAAAAAAACCCATCTGACTTACCAGACTCTCCCTTATTAGAATGTAAGCTCCTCAAAAGCAAGAATTGTCTTGTTTTATAGCCTCAGAGCTTTGTATGTAGTAAGTGCTTCATAAATGCTCTCTTATTCATTCGAATCCCTGATGTTTTTCAGAGCTTAGCTCGAGCATCACCGTCCAATCTTTGCAGTAGCTAAGGCCTCTCTCTCCACCACATAATCTTGTATTTCTGCATATATATGTTGTAGATCCTATACCCGGACATGTTGTTTTCCCTATAAGCTGCTTAAAGGCAGACCTGCTTCAGTTTTTTGTCTTGGTATCTCTAGCCCCTGGCATAACGCCTTGCAGAAAACCGGTGCTTAATAAATGTCTGTTGATTAGTTGGTTGAATGGTTCATATTTTCTAAGTTCCAGCTAAACCAGCTTTCTTATTGCTTCTTATACGTGAGATTCAACATTCTGTCTCTGTGTCCTGCCCCCATGTCTATAATGTAGTCTTTTTTAGAATCACCAATTACTTTCAAAGCTCAGAGAGGGAGAAAGGAAGAAAGGAAATTTTTCTCTAAATCCTTTTCTAGACTCCCAGGAAAATCCCCTTGGAAAGAGGGGTATTAAGTCAAGGACAAAAAAAAAAGGGCATTTATTAATTTAGCTCTTAACTAAGATCTAAATAAGCTCATTGCCTTCCCTTGAAGTCATCCGTCCTAGTATCCACCCAAGGAAAGTACCCTTTTCCACTGAAGTGAGGCCCACTCTGCTTTCTGTTCCAGTTAGCTTCTCAATATACATCTCTAGAAGGAGTCCCATTGATTCCCCAAGGATAGTAGTTAAGGGCAGCAGCAGTAGTAGCCAGGCTGCTAGGTGGCACAGTGGATAGAGTGCTGGGCCTGGAGTCTGGAAGACCTGACTTCAAATCCAGCCTGAGATATTCACTACCTATGCGACCCTGGGCAAGTCACTGAACTGATTTTTGAGGTTTGTACAAACTTACAAATTGAGGTTTGCCTCAGTTTCCTCCTCTGTCAAATGAGCTGGAGAAAGAAATGGCCTACCACTCCAGTATCTTTGCCAAAAAACTCTAAATGGAGTCATGAAGAGTTGGACATGACTAAATAACAAGTAGTCCAGGAGCAATGGAGTAGTGAATAGGTTACTCAATGCAGCTAGGTGGTGCAGTGGATAGAACACCGGCCCTGAAGTCAGGAGAAACTGAGTTCAAATTCTGCCTCAGACACATAACAGTCACTAGCTGTGTGACTCTGGGCAAGTCACTTAACCCCAATCACCTCGTAAAAAACAAACAAACAAACAAATTCTGTAACGTTGATCCAGATTATGTCTGTCAGCTAATAAATATTTGAATATATCTTTTCCTTGTTCAAGATTTCTATCAATTTAGGGGCAGCTAGGTGGTGAAGTGGATAGAGCACCGGCCCTAGATTCAGGAGGACCTGAGTTCAAATCCATCCGCAGACATATAACACTTACTAGCTGTGTGACCGTGGGCAAATCACTTAACCTCATTGCCTAAAACCAAAAAAAAAATTTCTATCAATTTTACCTGATATTGTCTTGGGGCAATCAGCCCATCAGCCAATCAAAAAGTCAACATTTATTAAGCATCTACTATGGGCTAGATACTATGCTAAGCACTGGGAATACAAAGAAAGGCAAAAGATGATTAATCCCTGCCTTCCAGGAGCTCCCAATATAATGGGGGGAGACAATATGCAAATAATTATGTTCGAACAAGCTATATAAGGGCTAAAGAGGAAATAATCAGCAGAGGGAAGGTATTAGAATTATGAGGGATTGAGAAAGGCTTCCTGTGGAAGGTGGGATTTTAGTTTATATTTGAAGAAAGCCAAGGAACCCAGGAAGCAGAGACAAGTAGAGAGAAGCTTCCATGCGTGAGGGACAGCCAGTGAAAATGACCAGGGTTGGGAGATATAGTCACACCATGTTGGAGGCATGGGGAATTACACCAGGTTGGACATCTCACCAAGCTAGACACAGCTGATATAAATTAATGTTAAATTAAATAAAATTATTTCTGGAAGACAAGTCTAAGTTACAGAATATAATACTAATATTGATATTTTTTTTCCTTCAACAAAACACATTGGTGTAGCACCCCTTCCAGAGCCACTTCCCTAGCCCCCACTGGCCAGATCCCTAAAGGATAACTGACTACTTTTCTTCTTGGGTTCTAGGGATAATCTTGAGGGAAAGGATGTTTCTCATATGATGTGTTTTCCAAAAATCAATCAATTAATTGATAAGTTAATTAGCTTTTAGAAAAGAACATTTACTGATGTGATGTAGTAAGAACAGCTGGTGTTAAAACACCCTTGTCCCATCACACCCCCCACGCCCCAAAAGTCTAGGACACACTTTTCCCCAAGTACATACAGAGCTCAGGGCTCACGTCTAGAGAATACATGTGGCAAAAGTAACTCGCAGTTCTTCATTATTTTAAGTCCTTTCCTCCCCTTTATGGAGTTTTCATGAAGTTCCCTTTTGGTGGATATAGCTGTCTGCCAGACTTGAGAGTCTGTTCCCTTGTAGAATAATGAAACTGCCTTTCTTGATGTGTCTAATTTGTCCTTTACTCCCAGTATCTTCCTCAGATACTGCTTCTTGCCATATCAGACCCTGATGGGAAGCCCAGATCTTTCGACTCTTCAAGATTCACAAAGTTATCTTAACGGTCAAGTGCTTTCCTCTCAAGGGTTTGGTTATAACCATTCTGCCACTAGACTGGCACCCAATAGCAAGGCTGGATTCCTGCTATTTTATCCAGGCCCCATAGGGCATGGCTGAGTCTCATCAACCAACAACCGATATTTCCTGTGTGGCTCATCAGCTTTCATTCAATTTGTAACTAGTTTGTACTTTTGATTGATTGATTCAATAGAGATGTCTAGGAATTGGTCATACTCAATTTACACTTTTGATTGATTCATTCTATAACTCAATCAGAGAGGCATTCTTATCTAATAAAGATTTCAGGGTATAGAGCATTTTGTAACATTGATTGGAGCTGAGGGTTGTGGGACACTCCTCTTACAGTAAGAACTTGATAAATACTTGCCGATTGATTGATTTGGCTTGTACAGAGTGCCAGCTATGTACTAAGCACTATATAGCTTTCTCTCCCATAGATGGATCTTTAAGGTAGATGAAGTAGGCAACCACCTACATTATAGATTTGAGGAGTCCTGAGAAAGCTTCCCCACCTCCACCACCAAATATCTCCCTTACTAATTTTTGTTATGATAATAATAGCTGACACTTATGTAGGCTTTCCTGCCTGTTAGATGGTGCATCAGATAGAGCACTGTGCCTGAAGGCAGGAAGACCTGAGTTCAAATTCAGCCTCAGACCCTTACTGCCTATATGACCCTGGGCAAGTCACCCCAAATGAGGTCAGGAAGGGTCAGACACAACTGAACAACAACATGTAGGCTCTACATTTTACAAAATTCTTTGATAAGCTATCTCACTTGGTCCTTACAAAAACCATTTCTGGAAGTCCAGGAGAACCTTCATTAGCTTTGTTTCTCCACCACTACAGAGTCAAAGGTGTAGCATAAAAACTGACATTCATAAAAGGCAAAATAGGCCTTTTCAAAATAGGTACTCAAGTATTATGATCCCTATTTTACAGATGAGGGAACTGCAGCTAAGACAGGTTGTAATTTACCTATGTTCACATAGCTATAAATGCTGGGATTCAAACCCAAGATTCTTTTTGTTGTCCAGTTGTCTTCAACTCTCCATGACCCCATTTGAGGTTTTCTTGGCAAAAACACTAGAGTGGTTTGCCATTTACTTTTCCAGTTCACTTTACAGATGAGGAAATTGAGGCAAACTGAGCTAAGTGACTTGCCCAAGGTCACACAGCTGGTAACTGTCTAAGGCTGGGACTTGAACTCCTGACTCCAGGCTTGGCACTCTATCCACTGCACCTCTTAGCTTGCCAAGACTCTGGCTGGTGGTATTTCTACTACATAGCACTGCTTCCACCA